AGAAGTCCCCCAAAGAGCATCACCGCAGAGGAGCCAATCAGCTAGATGTTGCTGGGGCCGCTGTGAGCCAATCATCAGCTGGCAGTCTGAAAGGGCAGGGAAACAGCCCAATGAGCATCACCACAGAGGAGCCAATCAGCTAGATGTTGCTGGGCCGCTGTGAGCCAATCATCAGCCGGCAGTCTGAAAGTTTGCTGGCAACTGGAAGTTTGCTGGGGCCCCTTCGGCTGTGGCTCTCAACAGGACAAGCCCCTGTGGAGGGATTTTTAACCTGGAGCTAAATGACAAGAAGGAGCCCTGTGCTTGAAGCAGCAGAGCAGTGCGCCAGTTTTTCAGGCAGGGGGTGGAAGCAGTGTGGACACCCTGCTGATATGAGAGGCCTCTTCTGACACCCTTCCAGGGGCTGGAAGGGAGAGTGGCTGGAGGCACAGGCTGCAGCCTGACAGCCTCTTCTCATCTCTACTGTGTTGCTTGCTCCTGTGCGGCTTTGAATCGGGCTCTCGACCTCTCTGCACTTCCATCTCTTCATATGCATGAGGGGGACAACCACAGCCCTCCTCACAGGACTGTCATGGACATCAACATGCTCAGGAGACTCCCTTGCAAAGGGACATGTCCCTCAGGCCAGCCTCACTGTAAGCTCGGATTTAGTATTATCCCTGTTTAGAATTATTGTTCTTAAAAGAAATACCCCAGAAACGTCTGTGTCAGAGGTGGGGGTTTGGAAACAGAACTTTCCTCCTCTGCAAAGCAGAGACCTTGTTGTGTCTTCAACAGCCAAGGCAGATTCTCTGGAATAATAATACTTTTTGGATGGTATATTTAGAAATAAAATTTAAATCGACTCTTTAATAACAAAAACCCTTAATAATGTGCCCTGAGAGCCATGTGCAGCGATTCTTATCTCCAATTGTGAGAAGAAACATCTCAAGCCTCAGAGAAAGTTTTGGTGGGGGTGAAAGGAGAGCCCTGTAGGAGGGGAGGTTGGTTTGCTTCCACCAGACGTGGGTGTAGTCAGCACTGAGCAGAATTCGAAGGTTGAACTGGAACAGGGAGTTTCCTCAAAGCGTGCCTTCTCTTCCTGTTCCCTCAGCGCTCAGTCAAGGAGGCCTTTAGAAGTTGCAACCACATGTCATCCGTTTGAAGGAATCCAGGAGACCCAGCAGAGAGAGTGTGTTTTAAAACAAGAGTGAAGAATGGAACACCAAATTCACACACAAAAAAGAAAGAAGGAGGAGAGGGAGGGTGGGAGGGAAAGAAAGGAAAAGGACGTGGAGAAGACTGTGGAAAGTCAGACGGTATTTCTGAAGATGTTGGATCACATGATATAAAATGTACGCGTTTTTTAATCAACAGAAAATGGGGTGTGTGCTTGTGGCTCCATTCTCTTGCATCTCCCTTCCCCATTCTCTGGGAGGGGAGAAAGGGGCCTCCCACCAGCTCCTCCTTCAGACACAGGTGCACCAGCCCAGAGGGTTGTTGAGGTGTGGTAGAAAGACCAGACCTTTACAGAGCTGCCATGGGAGACTGCAGATGGCCGCTGCTGCTGACACAGCCCCATCTCTTTGCATGAATCAAGGTGTAACCATCCTTTGAGTCTTATCTCCTCCCACTCCTAATTCTACATTCCTTCCTCTACTTCTCCCAACCTACCAATATGTTTGCAAATTTCCAAATGTTATTATTTCTATTCATGTCTAGTAATGTCCGGAAGATACTTGCAAAAAACTGTGAAATACTTTTAATGAGGTTAAAAGTAGCAAGAAAACTGCTGCCACTGTTTGTTAATTTACCTGAAAAGAAAAATAAAATATTCGGATTAGGTAACTCTCTCATTTTAAAAATGATACATTTTACATTTTAGGGAAGAAGCATAATTACAGTCAGGTCTGACTAATTTGTTAAATTGAATTAAGTTAGTCCAGGGCCTAGTCTTATTGCATACCATCCCTACTGAACTCTAGGATATAGTTGATTATTTGCTATACATAATTCTCCTATAGGAGACAGGATTAAAAAATAAATCACGCATGTAGTAAAAACCTTAGAAAGGTAAATTTCCTTTTTATTGACTCATTGATTTTACTAAAAACTGCTTGACTTAAAAAAATTGTTCTTATGAGATTTTTAAACTGTGGGTATAAAGGACCAATCGATTGTATTAATAATATCATATACGATATAATATAAAATATAATATAATAGCAAAAAAACACATTTATAGGGGCTACTGACATCTTAATGCTTTCATATACATCATCTCAATTCTCCAAACAGCTTTTGTTACAATAGATAAAGCACTAAAAGATCAATGAACCTGACATGTTCAAGGTCACATAAATAGGAAATTTAAAATCTGCTCATCTGCAACCTGATCTACTGGTATTTCCATCCCCATCTTTCCATAAATTAGATCCTACACTGAGCAGAATAGAGTAGATGTTATCTTAAGAATTTATTATTTTACAAGCCAATTTTGTTAGGTACCCATTCAAATTTCTAAATATTCTTTATCATTTCCATGTATTTATATTCTTGCCCATGTATTATATTAAAGAAATTTAAATAATTTCAGGGGGGAAAAAAGTGGGAAGGAAGTTTTAAAACTTCTCCCTGCTATGTTTCTCATGGTAGCTCAATAGCTCAACTAGTATAAGACTTTCAAAAGAAAAAAAGAAAACTCATGATACATCAATACCAAAATGAAGTTCTTCATTCTATTTTCTAAGATAAAATTTTAATCTGGAGAAGAGACATCATGAGAATGAGGAGGTACACTGATGCCTTAAAGACAGAAAAAGTCCATTTAAAAGTCTTATTTTTGTCCATTATCAACTGACCTGGCTTCTACTGTTTTTTGGGGTTAGGCCTGAGCTCATCTTTCTCTCAAGTTGGGTGTACTGAGTTTCCAGGACTTTAAAAGATCCAGCTCAGGCCTGGGGATGGAGCTCAGTGATAGAGTGCTTGCCTTGCATGGGCAAGGACCTGGGTTTGATATCCTGCACTGAAAAAAAAAATCAATATTTATATTCTTATGTAATATCCATCCTGGAAAATGAAGTTCATAGAGCCAAATAACCCTATAAATTAACTAAAATACAAAATCCCAGATTTTTTTTAGACATGTGCACAAACCTTAACACAAATAACCCAGCACATAAGCAATGGAGAGCTTTTCCCTTGGAATTATAATTGCAATTCACAATATGCCCAGTCTCCATCCGCAAGTTGCGAATACTTACTACAAATTTGTGTGGCAAGTGTGTGTCTCGATTGTGAGAGAAGCTCTTGGAGGAACAGGTTTGGATATCAACATCTTTCTAACAGCTGGTAGAATGGGTTTATCATCATTGCAAAATCATAACCACTTTGGGGGCTTGATGGTCACAGAATGTGTATGTACCAGATACATGACGTCTTATTCAAACACAGTGTTCAATAAATATTTGTGGAGTGAATATATAAATGAATGATGTGTATCATAAAGGACTTTGAGGATTAAAAAATGGCCAGAAACAACAAAGTTCTGCTCCAGTGACCCAGCCAATCCAATCTTCCCACCTTGCTCCATGGAGATCTCAAATTATCCAATAATCCTATGTCTTCCTTGGTTTGTTTAAAAAAAAAAAACAAGCAGCTGGCCTCTTCAGAGTAGGGCAAAAACAAATGATACTCCAAAGACCAGGAAAACCTTAGCATCTAGCATTAATTTTTAACCTGATTTTTCTAACTTCCAGGGTTTCTGCTCATTAAAGAGGGGGGGGGGAATGTTGCTTGTAATTTTCAAAATACTTTGCATATTCACTCATTCCAGATGCAAATAACTTTAAAGGCAAAATCACAAGAGGGTATGTGGTGAACAAGGGCCTAGTTACCAAAGGAGGTCACATAAAAATTAAAAAGCACTAAAGAATAAATAGTCCATGCTGTCCAGAGAGATGAGCTATGTAACCCAAGAAAAAATTAAAACCAAATTACATACACTAATCAGCTTTGCATAACATTTCCGATTCATTTGCCTACAATGCAGTTATCCTGGTAAATGCTGAACTCAACACAGGCAGTTGGGTCAGTGAGCCTCCAGGGATCATGAGCATCCAGCTATCTCCCTGTACTTGTCTGTGTTCCTTTATGACTGGGACAGCAGACCAACAATCACTCCTGAAACCTGCAGAAGTTGAACATTTGAAATGAAAGCAATACAGATCTGTATGTGCATAGCATGCAGGTGCCCTCAGATGAACAAGAAACAAGAGGATTCTGGGTCAGTGATCCATTTCTAGAACGTTCTATCTGATTTTGTATTTTTAAACAACACATTTGTTTTATGCTATATAAAGAATTCTTCTTCTTTTTCTCCTCCTTGGACTGGCAGATGAAGGGAACATCTTGAGATTATCTTCCTTGTATCAGAGTCCCCTTGGCTAGCAAGTGACAAGGGATGGATTCTTTCCCTAAGAATGCCCTTGTTTTTAGAGGTAGCCCCCTCTAAAGAAGAGTCTGGCAAGCAGGATGGTGGCTGGGTAATCCACAAATCCCTTGGAAATCTGCTCAGAAAAGATGGCCTCGGCTCAGAACTGATGATGGTGAAGCCCGTGTCAACATTGGTCTCGGCCTCCAGCTCCTGAAGGCTGTTTTCCCGGAGGACCTTCATTCTGACCCTGGGCTCAAGTGGAGGATGCAGCTGGGTGCTTGTGACAGAGCTGCTGGCGGGGGATGACCAACCAGGGCTTTTCCATGAAGTGACGCTAGAGCTGTCTGATGCCCTACTGGGCTCAGGGAACTCCAGAGAACGCACCTTGAACCTCCTGCCCCGGATCCTCCGGCTCCTGGGTTCTAGGGTTCTCTGTGCAGGGACAGGGGTCAGCCTGGAGCTCTGATGGAGCAAGCCAGAACCCAAGGTGCCATTCAGAAAAGAAAGTTCGCGGTTCCTAACACCAGGTTCTGGATTCAACTGGACCTGTGGGACAAGGCAAGAAGGAGCAAATGAAACAAGTTTTCCACTAMCTAAGTGCCAAGAGCGCCCCGCCTTATTTACCCATTGCCACGCCATGACTACAGCAGACTTTCGGTAAAGGTGATGGAGCAGAAGTCGTAGGTAAACATGATCATGAGGTACAGGATCAGCATCGGCTAGAAACATGACTTTTCTCTTGCTCTTCTTTTTTCCTTTCTCCCCAGCCCCCACGCTAACTTTTTGACAAGGACAGCATTATGAAACAAAAGGCCACTTGATGAAAACACACACTTCTGGTAGATTCAGTTGTTTAAACTACATAAAAATATTCAAAGATGTTGTTCAGCTTGGATGACACAAATGATGTATTTCCAACCATGCAAAAAAGAAAAAAGCCACCAAAACATGAGGTGACAGCCAGATAGGGACTGGGAAAAGAACACACATATGAACACATGAACTGGTGTGACCATACTTTATATGCAAACAGAGATATGAAAAATTGTGCTCTATATGTGTAACAAGAATTGTAATGCATTCCACTGTCATGTATTTAAAAAAACAAAATTAATTATTTTTTTTAAATTCCATTTTCCAAGGTTGTGGTCCTTGTTTTAAACAGTGCTAATAATTATGTATCTCTTGGGCTTTTCCAAGACATGTGGATACTCCAGGGAGGGTAATAATAATTTGGCACCTTTTATAAATAAATATTCCTTACATTCTTCAGGTACTAGAGCAATGGCTACTATTATGTGGGAAAACAGAAAGGGGGAGCTGCTATGTAGACACTGTGCTTTCCTCCCTGGCAATTCCACTCTAGTTCCAATCCTACTGGCAGAACCCCTACCCTGCAGGGAGCTGCATGCTCCAAGTGGAGTTCATGAGCATCTTCTATCCTTGGACTCTCAGGGGCCTCACATCCTACCCCTGACRCAGTGCTCTCCCCAAGAGGATTTCTGGACAAGACCATTTTCTCCATCTTGTTAGCAGCCCTTAGAAATGGATATTCAGGACCTATCCCTGCCTAGCCCAGTCCTTAATCATACRCCAAAAAGGATGATAGGGAAGAACTCTAAATGCCTACTGCCAATTGAAAGAAGCCAATCTTTAAAGGCTACATACTGTAACTATATAGAATTTTTGAAAGAGGTAAAATYATGGAGAGAGTAAAAAGATCAGTAATTGACAGGTATTAGAGGAAAGTAGGATAAACAGGCAGACACAGAAGACGTTGGGGGCAGGGAATCTCTTCCGGATGATATCATAATKGAATGCACATCATTGTGTATTGGCCCAAACCTATGGAATGTACAACTTAATGCAAACTCTCCACTTTGGGTGACGATGACTTGCCCATGAAGGCTCCTTCATGTAACACATGTGCCATCTGGTGGGAGGTGTTGACAGTGGGGAACACTGTGTGTCTGTGGGATCAGGGGAGATGTGGAATCTCTGTACTTTCTGCTTAATTTTGCTGAGAACTAATGCTGCTCTAAAAAATAGTCTATTTAAAGGGGGGAAAGAGAATGGTACACATTCACCTCCCAAGGCAATAAGGAGAAAGTCAGGATAGTGAAAAAGCAGGTCTAAAATGAGTAGACACACACACACACACACACACACACAGAGCGGAACTTCCATTGCTTCTTTTACAAGTGGAAAACATTTTCCATGAAGGGCCATGTAGTAAATATCTAAGGTTTTGCTGGCCGTATAGACCTTAACCCAGCTGCTCAGCTCAGCTGCAAAGCAGCCATAGACAAGACGTAAATAAATGGTGTGGCTGTGCTTCAATAAAACTCTATTTATGGATGCTGAAATTTGAATCTCATATAATTTTCATCTCATAATTTTTTCCCAATCATTTAAAAGTAAAAAAAAAAAAATATTCTAAGTGCCAGGGCCATAATTGGCCAATCCCTGCTCTCTCCACATCAATGCTTCTCATTCCCTCAGTATCTACCTCTATCTCTATCCCCACACACACCACCCTTGCCTTACTGGAAGCCCAATATCTGAAGCAGTCTAACTAGAGCAGTTTGGACAGGGTAGACCCAGCTCATTGGGACTCCCTTAGTTCTGCCCACATCCCCTCCTGTTGTGACTGCTGACCCCCTCACAAGGTCAGTTGGCTTCTCAGGACCAAGTTTGAAAACCACTATTCTAGAATCATTAAATTCTACCCCTTGACCAAACCAGTTCCCCCAGAGAGCTGTGTTTGCCTGAATACCGCCTCACCCATCTGATTCCCAGAGCCCATGCAATTTAGCCCAGAGTCCAAATTGCACTGAAGAGAGCTCCTGCCAGCATCAGAAACACTCTCCAGAGGAATAAGGAGAAAGTCGGGACAGTGAAAAAGCAGGTCTAAAATGAGTACACACACACACACACACACACACACACACACACACACACACGGGAACTTTGCTTGTTAAAGAGATGTCCCCTGTACCTCCATATGTGCCCTTTGATAAACCCACAAGAGAAATTTCTGTCCCCAGAAAATGTGTGTGTGTGTGTGTGTGTGTGTGTGTGTGTGTGTACTCATTTTAGACCTGCTTTTTTTTCACAATGGAACCACCTAGGGATCACCAAACACCACTGCTGCTTGCTCCTGCCCCAAGCACTCTGATTTCACCAGACCAGGGTGCAATCCAGGCATCAGGAAGTGTCCCATCTCCCTAGGTGCTTCTAATGCACAGCCAAGGTTGGGAAACACTGCATATATCCAGGACCTGTGCCTGGGGTCATTCTCCTGGGGCCATCTGAGTCTTCCTAACTGCCCGGGGCTCACTTCCTGCTCTCACCGCTCTCATTCCTCCACCTCATTTCCTGTTGCTCTCTCGCCCTGCACTTCCCTTTGCTCTGGTTTTCCCCGCCTTTCCTTCCCCCCACCCCCTCGCCCCGCCCTCCCTTCCTGTCTTTTCTTTTCATCTATTAGTTTTTAATCAAAATATCTTATTACAGGTCAAGAATCTCTTATCCAAATTACTTGGGACAAGAAGGGTTTCAGATTTTTTTCATGTTTCAGAATATCTGCACTTAWGTAAAGAGATATCATGAAGGATGGAGCCAAAGTCTAAACACAAATTTTATTTGTTTCACATACACCTTATACATATAGCCCCAAAATAATTTTATACAATATTTTTAAAGCACCTGAAYTTTAACTGTGACCTATTACTCAACCAGTATAAAAGTGGTAATTGTTAACTATAAAAATAATTTAATTGAGTCTGGGGCTGTGGCTCAGTGGTAGAGTGCTCGCCCAGCAAGTGTGAGGCACAGGGTTCGATTCTCAGCACCGCATATAAGTAAATAAATAAAATAAATGTCCATTGACAACTAAAAGATAAATAAATAAATGATTTTATTGTACAAATGTATAAAGTAAAAAGTAAAGACTTGCCCACCCCCAACTTCAAAGAACTCCAAGTTCTCACTCTTTAAAAAATGTCTTGCTTATTAACCCTGGCCTAATTAGAGGGAAAAAAAATACTATCTGCCATCTATAAACAGGGATCTCCCTTTCACTGGCAAACAAACTCCCTCCATTTTTCAAAGGGCTCAACTGCCATCTTTGTCTCTTATGAAATCGCTGGACATTGTATTGTATCTTCTTATTTGACCCAGTGAAGTTTTTTCCTTCTAATAATGGAAACTGACATGGGTTTATTTGTTATTGTTGCTTTTCATATTCAGAAATCATTCAAGGTTGATATTAGACTACCCAGAATAGAGAAAGAAAGCCTTAAGTTTGACTCTGGGGCTCCTATTTCATTTTCTAACAACTATAATCAGAAGAGAAGCCTGAGGACGTTCTCTTACTCCCAAGTCAATCTCAGATCAGAATGAAGGTTTTCCTGAAGCCACGTCCAGGCCAAGACAGGTGCAGCCAGGAAGAACTCTCCTGGACCTCCAAAGTCCGTGGACCCCTCTGAGCCAGCCTAGTGCACCCTCCCCTCAGCTCTGGTCCCCGGGCCCGTGGCACCTCACTGGATCTTGTCTCCCTTAAGGTGCTCCATCTCTGAAAGCCAGCAGGCCACCAGCTCCAAAACTCAGTTCTCCCATTACATCTGCTGTTCAAACCAGCACCACCTCCTACTTGCTCCTTCTCAATTGTCCCCRTCCCCATCACCGTCCCCCACCGTCTTCACTTCTTTCCATGGCTCATTGGAGTTCCAAGACTATCACTTCACCCGTTTCCTTGCTGAGACCTCCAACTCTCCTGCACTGGTCCTTTTCTGCCACGATATCCTTCAAAATCTCCCCTCCCTGGATGGAAGTGAGGATTGGAGTTACTCACCCAAGTTCTCTGAGCTTGCACCCAGGATCCTGTGGGAACACACACACAGCCATGAAGGTTGGCGTCACAAGGAAGACGTGGTGTCCAACTTCACTCAGGCTGCCCTCCAGCCCTCCTGTTCCCACAGTTGCTCTCTCTACTCATCACAGCAGTGGTTTCAAACCCTCTGAACTGTCTGAATCCTTCAGTGACACACTCTCCCTCACTCTCCCACCAGCTGGATCACCATTTACATAACAGAGAAAGCAAAAGCCACCATTACTTAGCAACCTTCTCCTTTCCTAGCACCAGGCTCACCTGTGACCTCACTCCTCCTCTGTACAGGAAAGGGACCATCCAACCTGTGCTGTGAATTCCATCACCTCCTGCCCTTCCCATGATCGCAACCTAATAATCACTCATTTCTCCCACTTTAGTATCTTGTATGTTCAATCTCAATTTCTCTCTCCATCTTTCTCCTTCCCCTTTCCAACAGCAATTAAACTTTCTCTCTTTCCCCTAAAGTTTTCTTCTACTTCCCATTCACATTCAAAATTTTTTATAGAATTTGTCTACATTTTTTCCTACTAACCTCCCCCCATGTCCTTTGCCCACAGCGTTGGATTGCCCTCCTACCCCTTATGAAATTGCTCTTACCAAGATCATCTACATTGATTTTCTTTTACACTCAATTTCCTGGTCATGAATTTTCTTG